TCGACATGCAAGGGCAAGAAGGCAAAATATCATGCAGTCTATGCTGTTACTTGCTAGCAGAAGAAGACATATAGCTAGTTTCGCTGTAATGCTGTTGCTTCTTTCCTTACAAAATGGTGTTTACACTTCGGGGACCGTTGCGAGATCGTGTCACCGCCTCTCAAGAAATGCCGAGTGGTGCACATATCATCCGCCATCTTGGATCTCCCAAGACCGTATCGCGTATACTCATTACCAAATACCGCTGCTTTTTAGGTCCGGGCTCACCTAATTTTAATGTATGCATTTGATTCGGCACAACAGAAGCTCGACGTTTGAATCAGTGTCGAACATTTGCCGTGCGGCTCGACTGGTGCGGTCGAGCTCAGTACCGCGTCGAACCTAATCCAGTCGTGCCGAACTTAATTGATTCATACGTCGAGCCTTTCATGTGCCAAATAGATACTATTAGGTTCGGCACATGAAAAGCGCGACGTATGGATCGAGCCTAAGAAAGCTTTATTTGCCACCCCGGACGGCCCATAATGCCTTGTGATCCAAGATAGCGGCTGTATCGTTGAAGTAGTCCATTGTGAACGGGTTTTTGGCGGCTATCTTCCGATCGTACTTATAGGAGAATCTGCATTTACGAGCGTTTTGAATATTATTTCTGCATATATTATCATATATATGATTTTATCCATGCATAACTTGTTATTAGCTAGGTACTTCTGATAAGTATTGTACCCATTTAAGATTACATAATTTAATTTAATTATAATGTTACCCAGTGAACTAGCTATAAATCGAGGTTATTAATTTATTCATGCGTTCTATTTCCGGTGTAATGATAAATAGTTGTAAGAGATTCTATACATTAGTGCCTGTAATTGAGTCCAGTGCTGATACATTGTCCTTATCTTTTTTAATTTACGACTTTCCATACATCGGCACAGATTCACAAAAATTTCAGTCAAGGCTCCAAATTTTAAATTTGAATATTCCTTTGAAACTACTTTAAACTGGAAAGTACGAGTAGTGTTCGATACAAATGCATCACCAATGCGACCCGAGTTCGTATGTGAGTAGAGTTGCTTGTTGGTTGTCTCCTGTGCTTGGAGAGTTTTTCTGAAGGTTCTCCAGCTAAACATCAACTTAATACACCAGTTTCGCATTCGATGCATACCCCTATTTTTGAAGCGGACCACATACTCATTTGAACAGGCTTAGACTCCTTTATAGGTAAGCTATTCATACATTCTTATAAGGCTAACTTTAGAAATATAATTTAAAAATTAGGGGACAAAAAGTTACGACGTTTCGATGACGTCTTGCCATCATTATCAAGTAAAGTAAAAGAGTGAACATGATTATATATATTATATACTGACTGACGTCATAGAAATTGATTTTAGCGAACTGAAATCTGCCAGGTATCATTTATATTCATTGGTTCTCCGATATCATCGCAACTACCGTTGTTATGTGATGAAAATTTCATGCTGCCTTCAATTCCAAATGGATAATTACTAAGACGTCTTTTCCATCTATGGTCATGTGAACCCCATGTGTCGACTTGAATGGTAGTGCTGTTTATTTTACCCCAAAGAGAACAGTTTTGGGCCAGAATAGACGTGTCCTCGGGCAGTCGATCAAACGAGCCACATGCAGTGGGAAAAACTGATGAGACCTCTCCTAGAGTCATGAAAAAATGTATAACATGTTGGCCAGCGGTATCGTTTTTGGTCATGATGCTCACGACTCTACCTACTGATTTCTTGTAACAATAGAAATGGATTTGATGGAACCCCATCTTTTGGTGAATATCCAACAAAGCCTTTGAAGTTGGGAGGACACTTCTGTCGTTGTTGTTGTACTGGCCAATGATACGATAGGTGTTGTAATCCTTTATTTCTAGTGAAGACGGGTTTTTCAAGTAGAGTCGTTTGATTTTGGTCCAGCCACCTATAGGTATGCCACAGTTAAGTGTATTGTTAGCTTAATGAAGCATTAGATAGTGGTTAACAGAATCAAGTCCTTTACCTCCATCAGTTGTCATGTCACAGTATGCTTCGATTGGTTTCCCTGTGTTGGCCGGATCGAGTACGTAAACACCAGATCCATATGAAAAGCCATTGGCCAGAATGTGTAAACAAGACTTGGCAGGGCGTTCTTTGCTACCCAGGGTAACTATTAAATTGAATGACATGAAAGTATATGAAATATAGAGATATTGTTATTGTCTTTGTTGTTGTTATTGTTATTGTTGCTGTTGTTTTGTTGCTGTTGTTTTTATTGTCGTGGATAATCTTTTTTCTAGCTCACTCACCTATCTTAATGCATGTGTACTCCCTTGAATTTACACCCGTCTGGCAGATATCCATTGCAGGGCAAGGCTTACTTGCGCAGACATTCTAGACAAAATGAAAATAATGTCCTTCAATAAACTAGAATGTAGTATACTGAAAAGCACTACACAATTAGCCAACCTGCGGGACATAAGATCAGCAAGCCAAATATATAACCAACCTAAACAAATTAACCTACCGACCAAACTAACAACCACTGCTAGAAAACAAAAAGATCACTCGTTAATTTAAGTGAAACACATGTTGAGATTCGTGTTGAGAACACTCGCGCCAAACGAGAGAACAGAACAGCAACTAAACACGTTAACAAGTAGTGTCCTTTACCTTAAAAGGTAGAAAGTTAAAAGTAATTTATGTTACTTCTATAGAGCGGGGAGTGTCTGCCCAAATCTCCCGACTCATATATAAAGTGYTCCAAGGTGCTCCCTTTACCCCCTCAAGCTATCAGTCCTCCTTATTACCAGCTTCTTATTACGGGTATTTACAGCTAAAGCAGTCGTCGAGCTTCTGAGGATCGAAACTAGTCGAAACTCTAGTTCTGAAGGACGCGCACTAATGTAATCAACTGATTTACGCCTTCTGCTAAAACATCCGTAATCTAAGAAAGAGGTAGCTCATCTCATAGAGACTTTAAAAGTCGACAAAATAATTTGAAACTCGCAAAAGGAAGACAGTAGAATGATCAATCCATATGTAGAGTCACATCATTAAATATGGTAAGTAAATTCATACAAAACGATTCTTAACAAATTTCTTTCCCCCTAGCAAATTAGTTCAATTGATAGCATAATACATTGTGGAAGAGTTACCTTTGTTCCAACATACGTAAATCCAGTTTTTTTGACCAGGTCCTTGGGATACTGAAGGTGGTCAGAATCATTGATTTCACAATGGCCGGATGTTTGATGATAGTTATAGGACATGCATACGCCATCAAGGTAGCACATGACTCGGCACAGTGAGGCTGTTTCCGTTTGAAAGGTTTCTTTGACGTGACTTCGGAGGTAGCTGCCAGGCTTCTCTTTCGTAAACTCTGAATCATTGCATGTTTGTCCTTAAAAAAAAAAAAAAAAAAAAAAATTAAAAAAAAAATTAAAAAAAAAAAAAAAAAAAGACATTCACATTTTTTCTCGCTAATACGTAAAACATTATTTTAAAATATCCATTATTTTTGCGTTATACTTTTTGCAAAACCATTTGTCACGACCGCAAACTTTACGATTTCGCGCGCGTAGTTGGAACCACTGGAAGCCCTAAGCAGACAAAACAAATTATGAGTTCGTTTTTCATGTTTGAATGTGATCAATAGAATATGGCTTTACTCTGTTAAAGAGAAGCTAGTCTTATTAATTTAATCGATCAAACTACCAACGATTTAAATTATTTGCTATAAAGCTACCAGATTAGGGGAAAAACTTTGAAAAGTGTCAGAATTCCTACATACATAGCTACAAAGTGTTTTTTAACGAGAGTGGGCAATTTCAGTACGAACATTAACTAACTGG